GGGAAGGGAGAGCCACCCTGCAGGAAGATCTGGATAGGCTGGAAGAGTGGGCTAACAAGAACCTTATGAAGTTTAACAAGGACAAGTGTATGGTCTTGCACCTGGGAAAACATAATCCAGGAGTGCAGCTCAGATGGGGATCCACCTGGCTGGAGAGCAGCTCCATGGAAAGGGACCTGGGGGTCCTGGTGGACAGGAAGCTCAACATGAGTGAACAGTGTCCTGCTGCGGCCAAGAAGGCCAACAGGATGCTGGGCTGCATCAAAAAGGGCATCACCAGCAGAGATAAAGAAGTCATAATCCCACTCTACTCAGCACTTGTCAGGCCACACCTGGAATACTGTGTACAGTTCTGGTCCCCGCTATACAAAAAAGATGTGGGCAGGCTGGAGGGGGTCCAGAGGGGGGCCACCAAGATGCTCCAGGGTCTGGGGGGCCTGTCGTATGAGGATAGGCAGAGAGAGCTGGGTTTGTTCGGCCTTGAGAAAAGAAGGCTTAGAGGTGATCTCATCACCATGTACCAGTACTTAAAGGGGAGCTACACAGAAGACAGTGACTCCCTTTTTACAAGGAGTCACATGGTGAGGACAAGGGGTAACGGGTACAAGTTACTCCCAGGGAGATGCCGATTGGACACGAGAGGAAAATTTCTCACAATGAGAACAGTCAATCATTGGAATAATCTCCCCAGGGAAGTGATTGACTCTGCAACACTGGACACTTTTAAGACTCAGCTGGACAGGGTGCTGGGCCACCTCATCCAGACTGTGCTCTTGCCTAGAAAGGCTGGACCAGATGATCCTTGAGGTCCCTTCCAACCTGGTATTCTATGATACACTTCTCCATCAGAATAGAAATACAATCTCCGTTTTGCCCCGTCACGATTATCTTTCTTTCATAAATTGCTACAAAGACATTTCCTGCGAGTATTGAACAGGACTGAGCAAAAACCGCATCTCATTCACTGAGCATTCAGAAATGCTTCAAAACCTGTTCCAACTGGAAATGAGATTAAAACAGTCAGCTTTTGGCAAATAGAGAATTTGTCAAAAATTCTTTTTGGATTAAAATAGTTCAACAATCCAATGCAATCTGCCTCAACTCTAACCTTTAAAAAAAATAAAAGCAATTTCAAAAGAAATTTATTTCTAAGGGTTTTGCTCGAAAGATGTTCTGAGATTTCCTGGAACTGTTTACAGCTAACTATATAAATACAAAACCTAAAATTGTTACAGCATATTTTTAAAATACACTAGTGCTGCCCGGTCATGCTGTCCAAACCTAGTAATAGCCATTTCAAAAAATTCAAAATAAGGTCACACAGAGAGAATAGTTTGTTCTGATGCAAACCACATATAGGGTCTCAATTCCATTTACTACTAATTTTTAGAAAATGAGGGGAGATAAATCCTAAACATACTAGAACCAATTGTGAACGTTTGTAAATGAAGGCAAGGCATTGAGCAAACCCCTGTGACAGAGCGCTTCTGCCCTGACAGTCAGCGCCTGGGAAAGAACGTGATCTTACCGCAGTCCTGCAGTTTGCGGTACGGTTGCAACATCACAACAACGGACCAAACTGCAAGGTGACAACGACCATGCGCAAAGCTTAATAAAAGTAAACTCTTGTATTTTTTAATGGAAGGGAGCTGTTTCCTGGAAAACTGTCTTGAAAATTCATCATTTATGTTTTGTGTCTCACCTTATGTTTGGGAAGTACCACAAAAGCCCAGCTGCCCGAGTCCTTCTCCACCACTGTGCCCCTAAAGGACCTGGAGGCTTTGGGGGTGGGGAGTGGAGAGGGGACGAATATCTAGCCCCAAACTCTGCTCGCCTGCTGTTGCAGACAAGCTTCCCTTTTTTCACTACCACTGCCACTTGATGGCTTCTCCAAGGAATACTAGAAATTTGTCTTCCTGCTCTACTCATCCTTCATTTTTACCAGCTCCACATGCTCCTTCCCTTCATCCTCTCTTATCTTAATTGCATGACCCTTCGAGAATGAAGTCTATTCTCTGACTCCTTGAAGAAAGAATTCCTGTCTTGGGGGTGGAGGTTACGGGCAAATGCTGAAGACAACGGAACATCTTTGCCAGAAAAATGTGTTTTGTTTCCTTATCTGTCTAGGAAGGGCTTTATTATTCTATCGAGCAAAGGAGTCGCTCAGCCTCACCTTCCCATGCCAGAACCAAGATACACATAGCCCATTCTCCTAATACGTATTTCACCTTCCCAGCAACGGGCTTCTGATCTCTCAAGTCATCAACTAATCTCTGCAGCTCCACAGTGCCTGAGGCCTGGCCCGGACAAACTCTTCATGTGAGGTGATAAAAGGAATGATCTACAAAACGGTAGACATAAAGTTGGGGAAGGAGGCGGGGTGAGGAGGACTAGGGCTGCAGTTGTAACTACAAGAGGAAGGCAAGGGTCCCTGGATTGGTGTCCTGATCCAGGGAAGCAGGAGTGTGCAGCAGACAGGTTAGGTGTAAGTGACTACAAGTTCACAGAGTTCTGAACCTCATTAAGTGCAGCTCAAGAAAAACAAAGAAAATAAAGAAAAAATTCACCATCCTTGGGTTGTGAATACAGGCACATAACTTGCTTCTTATCTTTTAGTTACCTCATGGAGGCACTACACTGAAAATGAGGTGAGAAATATACTTACTGTCACCTTCTGAGCTGCGTTATCTCCATGAATTGTAAGGAATGGGTTGGTAGTAGCTGCATTAAGCGGCGAGGCCTGTGTGCCTGAAAGTAAGTTGTTTATGGGTATCTGTGCTCCTCCAGTAATCTGCAATTGCTGTACTTCAGACTGATGGTGTTGGTGGTGGTGATGTTGTTGCTGTACTAATTGATACAAAAGGGCCTGATGCTGTTCCTTGAGTAATATGAGGGGAGGGAAGAGAAAAAAAAAAAAAATCAAGAATTAGTTACTGAAAAATAGCTCCTCCCTGGCTTCTTACTTATCCAAATCTTCAGTCAGTGCAACCCTTAACCTAATCCCAGCTACTTTAGGTTGCACGAATGAAGTTCCACGAGACTGTGGGAAAGAGAAGAAAGTGCCTATAAAATTTCCTGAAATGAGTAGCTCAGCAGAAGCTCAGCTAAGCCTGCTGGCTTTGTCAGGCCTCTATCAGAAGAAACATACCTGAGAAGAATATCAAACCATCTTTGTCAAAGTACTAAAACTACACAATTAACAATACAAATAGTTAAACCAGTTACCTAATGGCCTATATGAATACTGCAAGGCAGAGCAAAGACAGCTCACGAGATGATACCCAAAAATCTTTCGCTAGAGTCCTAGTGAAACTGGAGAATAGCTTAGGATATTGATAGAATCCAGAATGGTCCCAAACTCTGCTGCCCACAGCTGATGCTGATAGAGACAAGCCACCATGTCCACATGGGACAAAATGGGACTGAAGGCACTAGGGAACGATTCTCCTAGCAATACACACAGCCCAGTAGCATCCTGTAATTTAGCATGACTATCATCCAAAAAGGTTGAAGCAACTGAAAAACTGAAAGATTATCAAAACCTGTAATACCAAGTTAAACACATTTCTAGTATTTGTATTAGGCTGAGTTTATCCGTGCCTTAGAATACAGTAGAAGAACAAATCACAATTAACTGGAAAACTTACTGATGTGAGCTGCTGGGTACTTAGTAACTGCTGAAATTGCTGGTGTTGTTGATGGAGTAGAAGTTGTCTCTGTTGGTCAGGAAGTAATCCTAGTCCCGAGGCACTGTAGGGTTTGACAGGGTAATACTGTAGTTTATATGAAAGTATGGGAACTTTTTACTTCAGCTTTCCATTGAAACAAAGAAAATATGTATACAAGTAGACAGTTCCTATTTAGCATTTTGATTGCATACTGTCAAGTATTAAATAGTCTGTCTGTTCAGTTGCCTTTTTTGATACATACCTAGACATTACCACCACCACCCCCAGTCTCATTTATGCTGAGGAACAGCAACATCTTACCCGTAACGTAAGTCTTCTATGTGCACATTATTTTAAACTCAGATAATAATTACCATTTCTACATTTTTTCAAATACTTTACACAGAAAGGCCAGATTTTGTACTGTAAGACAGCTCTTACCAACCTTTAATACTTATTTAACTAGCATTTACTTTGCCTTGGTTTCCTTCTAATTCTCATCTTTTGCTGTATTCAAATCTATCACTATTGCCTATACCTCATCTCTAATTTAGCAAACCCATTCAGCCTTGTAGTGGGCCAACTGATGCTGCCATGGAATGAAGTTGCCTACTGCTTAGCTCCCCGTCCCTGTTTTCATGCCTACCTAACATTTTCTGCAGCTATTTAGGAAACTGGGCAGGGAACTGATCCAGCTGACAACCGGTCTGGAAATAAAAGGTTTCTTCAGCTATGCCAGTTCACTGCAAGACCAGCAGCATGAACAAGGGCGGGGTTTGGAACAGAAGACCAGGAAGACAGCTTGATTTACTCTTTCGGTACCAGTGTTAGCTTCTACTAGTTTAAACACCCACTGAATTATGAAGGTGTAGTTTCACAATAGGTTTACCCTGCTATTGAAAGGTTAAGTATTGCCTCCCCTTGCACTAGCTCTTGCACAATGAGCTGCATCTGGTGGGAATGGAGCTGAAACCTAAGCCAACAGAAAACACTGAAGCATCATCTGTTAATGTAGATGAGGTTATTGTGTGAATGCACAAGCACTAGTATCAGCAAGAAGCTGTGCATAGGATACCAACAGGACAACAGGATTGCTAGTTGTGATTGGTAGTAAGGAATTAAATTAATTTAAATCAGCCACAAATCCGCACAGTTAGGCTACAACCATCCAGCTCTTCAGGACGCAATATTTATCTTGCCTTTCTACAGTAGCTGGCATACTGTAGCCCGGCTCCGTGATCACTTTGACATTTACTTTGTATCAACCAGCCAGCATAGAAATACCCATAGGATCACCATTCACTACTGCTGGGACAGGGCAGGCAACACAAACTTTGTTTCATACTTCATTGGATGGCCTCAGTGCTATGGGAAACATGTGCTGGGCTGCACTTGCTATTTCCCATCATCTGCTTCACAACATCCATTACTATCATTTCTACCACTCTCCTGGTTCTCAAACCTCTTTTCCCTAGCCAAGAAGTCAATTCTACCGACCTTGTCCTGTGCAAGCC